ATAGACACATGTTAAAATGTGCATGAAAAATCATCAAACACTGCAAAGACTAATTTTTTATATCCAGAATGAAAACACTATCAAGTAGATTTTGGATGATATCTTTCAAGTGCTATGATTTCCAGTTAGAAGAAACAATACATATGCAACATATATCGAGGATATTATTGTAACAATTTGGTACAAAAACTAAGCTTTCTGTCATGAATATTTGTTCCTACCCTGTGTGACGTGTGAACACAAATCTGGAGAATATTCAGTGGAGTTTTGAATTTCAAGGATCGGTCAGTACTCTCCAACGAGTCAAATGTGCTCCTCAAATACAAGTTTACAAACTCTTTCGATATATCCTGCCTGAGCTTTGGTGTAATGATAATAACAATAAATTTATGTTACCTTTTTTCAGGTCTTGTGTTTTGGTACGTTTGATCTAAATCATTTGTATGAGATTATGTATGATTCATTGTTATTATATTTGAGGTATAGCCCCAAGTCACCCTTTGTTCTTATCCCCTGTAAGGGGAAGGATAAAATAGACAACATGGGCCTTACAAATTTTATTTGTTATTTTATTTTGTGCTTCTATTCTGTTAAAACTAGGACGAGATGTCCGTTGGCAGCGGAGTCGACTCGAGATGAAATTCTCCAAGGGAGCAAGAATCGCACCTCCACGTTGGGTCGGTTACCTGCATGATTCAAAATATGTAGCCGATCTCCATTATTCGGTGGCCTTCCCCCTCAGACTCCTCGAACATCGATCCGTGTTTCATCCAACTCCATTCAGTCAAAGTGGTCAGTCAACTATTCGCAGATTGGCTGAAGGATCAGTGGTCTTTCCTTCCATGATTCGTCATCCCAGAGCGTTGTTTACACGTTGTTCTCTTGTTGGTCTGGCTTCGGCTTTTCTCTATCCATTGTAATGTACAATATGTTAGTGGTCGTGGACTACAGCCTTGGTATTGCGTAGCAAGTCTGACCATACATTGCTCTGGATAAGTCGGTAAAACCCTCCTCTATGAAAGGGACTTAGAAACATCTTCAACTATGTAGGAGGCCAAATTGAAAACTTTTATGAGTAATTGCCGATTGCCATGATTTTTGATAGGTACAATATTTATATCACTAGTCGCAAAATTGAAATTTCCTATTATAAAATTTACACTTTATGAAACAAAGTTAAAGTTATATCAATGGATGCCTTAGGTAATGAGCTTTACAGAGTACCATGATATGTATAAGCTCATAGTGCATAAATAAAAGAGGGAAAATGTGATCATATGCAAAACTAATTTTATTCAGAAGTTCAGTGCTTGAAATTAAACTTTTCAGGCGTTGCAATAGCACGCCTGAATACTAACATATCATGGTATTTCCAATAAAAAATCATCAGATAATTGTATTTAGTGAAGAAAAATAGTTGACCACATCACAGAAAAATAATTTAAAAAATATTTTAATTAAATTTGATATAAAAAATTACTAAGTGATAGATTACAAAATAAAATTCATCAATATCAAAAAATAACTTTTATTTTTCAAGATGAAATATTGATAATATTCAACTACTATACATTTCAATAGATATTTATCTTTCAATTTTGGCAAATTTTAACTTTCTTTGACATTGCACTACTTGAGATTCAGATCGAATTAATGCAGATAAGGTAATAATGATTTTCGAACCTAACTTGTTATTTAATTGTTTTTTTTCAAATTTTAACATCTTTTTGAAAGAGCATGCTTTCATGAAATAAGAGCAGTGTTCCTATTAAATTTTTTTGGAAAGTAGATTAATTCTATTACATAATTTAAGGAAAAGAATTTGAAAGGAATAAAAAAACATTTATATGTCTCAAGAGTGATTGAGATAAGTTTAAGCATGTGAAGATAACATACTAAAATTCCTGGTAATTCTTCAGAAGTTCAATGATGAGAGGACTCTTCAAAAATTGTATTATATCAGCCCCCTGGGATCCCAAGGTGGATGTGTCCCACTTTGTGCGGAATGGGGTTGACGCCCTTGCGAACGTTTGGTTTTTCGACCAATGCACCCAAAAAAATGTCGGTTGCTTGTAGCAGCTTGCTTGTTTTTAGGGTGGATTGGATGTAAACCCGTGGAAGTACCATATGTTTTGGACAAATTGCTTCGGTAGGTTTTTTCTTCTATTTTGATATAACGATCATTCTTTGCAAATGTGAAACGCAATTAGAAATCGAAAGCGAACATCGACTCGATGCAAAAACGGAAAATAAATCCGACAAGCACTTCGTGCCCCCAGATATATTGTGGTTTTTGGGGCTTTGGTCCCAGCCTCTATTTGAAACATACGAAGTACACTTGGGAGAGGCAGGAAGCAAACCCATGTTTCCTGAAGCGACACTTTATTTCACTCCTTTCATTTAAACTCTAACTATATATACTTTGCCACTATATATACTTCCTTCACTACAATAAGACAATACGAGCTGAAGAAAATTATTGTTTACTTTTCAGTAGCCCATATGATTTTTGTGACTATTGGTATGTTTACTCTGAACATACATGGAATTGAAGATTACTTTGGTTAATTAAGATTTGAGTTAAAGTTAAAGTTAATTAACATTTGAGTGCTCATGGCATGATAACTTATATAATAAGAATGTCACATCATCAATGCATGCAATTGAAATTTTATTGAAATAACATCCTACTCATAACACTACCAGATAAGATGCAGAGCTTATTACCTATTGTCATGAATACATAAGTTGAAGAAACTTTAAAAGTATTTATTCAACAGATGATACATAATTTATATTCTAATACGAAATTAATATATCTATTGATATAGAAGTATCACCGTTAGTTAAAAAATGACATAATATTAAATGTAGCTAAGAACATTTCAGATCTGATAAAACTTTTCACGTAGATGTTATAAGCATTGCATGTATTTTATTTTACTTAACCTAGTTTTTCAATAAGTATCTTTCATACTAGACATTTTTGTATCCAAATTTCGTACTCAGTCCAATTAAGAATTTTCTTTCCCAATTTTTCCTTTGCGATGAGATTATCACAAATAAATTTGATCATATCTACTATTATGAACCGTTGGGTGGATTATACAATTATATAGTGTAAACCACCCAGCGGTTCAACTAATCAGGTTAAAAGTGGAGATTTTCATAGATAGATGATCCACATCACAAACTATGCAAGGTCACATGACACAAGGGCAACTGATCTCTTTTTCGTTTATTGTTTGTTCCTAGTGCTCAAAGCAGAGTGGAACCTTCTTCTGGATAAATAATTTCTCTACCTATCGTTCCCTGCATTAACATACGGACAAAAATTTCAAGTCATAGAGATGGTGTCATTTCAATTGATTACATTGGTATCAACTATATTGTTCAGATCTTATCATACTACGCTAGTGAATGCCTTCTGTGTTTTCTATGATCAAGCGAAAGATTACTATAACGAGATGTGATTTCTTTTTGAAAATCACATTTGATGTCATTCCTTGGTTCAAGTCAACCTACCAGGTGATCCTTATTCATTCATACACGTGAAAATGTTCTTCCTCCAAAAATTTGAAACCCAATTTATTGTAAAGCATCTAAATAGCCCAAACATTTTTCCATATCTTGAGTTAGCTTTCTTTTCAAGCCACTCAATTCTTTTATTTCGTGACTTGTTTCAACTCTATTCAGTATATTTGAAGTTATGATTATAGTGTGGGTTGTAATCTTATATTTGCATGAAAGTCATTCCATCTCAAACGGGATATGTACATTGCAAGTTTTGATAAATGGATTTCTTTGAACAATAACGAGCCTTTTCCTCGATATTAGGGTTTTAACTCCTTTTCCTCGAAAGAGTCACTACCATTCACTTATCTAAGATAAGTCGTATAGATAATTCTTGCAGAAGAATAATCCAGATAAAAATGCGTTTTGTTTGTTCAATTGACTACTTTCTATTTAACCATATCGAGATTTCCAATAGGACGGGGTAACGAAGAGAGAATGAAAGATTAGGCAAGAGAATCTATAGAGGTTTGGACTATTGTATATGAACAAAACCTGAAAAATACTATAATTTCTTCAACCAACCATAGATGGCTTCAAATTTCATACAATTTTCTCCATAGCAAGACCGAAGGAGGAGCTTGCTCCTTGTTGTCCTATCTCATTATCGTACACTTTGTTTTGTTTTGTTTTTCTGAGATATCTGTCCTAGTGACAACTAATCCATTATCTTCCTTTCGTTTGAGTGACCAGTGAACTTCATGATGACAAGGTTGTTAATTAAGATGAGTTTGTTTTTTTTTTTTTAAGATATCCACACATCTGTTCTACAATTTGCATATTTTCATGGAAGGTGTAATTTCATCATAATGAGATAAAGTTTTGAAATCCTAAGGTTAAATGTATATTTCTATTTACAGTATATAAACATAAGTATTTATATTTTTATATATATTAGGAAGGGTAGAATGTTTGAATTTCTAATGAGTGTCTTCCTTCTCGTTGTGTTGAAAATTAATTTCTCACTTTAGATGTAAAACATTGCAATAGATTGAGGTGGGATTCCATATACAATGAATTGTGTTCAACTTGACGTTAGCTTGCAAAACTAAATCAAAATTGTATTTTTCCTAACCTATATCGTTCATAACTTGAGGTGTTCATTAACCTTGTAATCAGTTTTTTTCCATTCTTCTTCATTGGAAGCCCGCTTGCATTCGGCACCTGGTTATCGTCTTGGTTGGTTCATCATCATTTATGGTTTGGTGCTCCATTTATCAATCTCTGCTTGAGGGCGTTAACCGGGAAAGAAAACATAACCGCATTAAATAAGTTGCAACTTTTATTATTATCGAAGCTGTATTGATGGTGCGATTGTGATAGGTCTTGCAGCCTCGCGCATCAGAGTCAGAAATGCCGTACTTTGCAGGAAGATCAGAACCTAGGAGGAGGTCACTAGCACAGCATCGCCCGAAGCAAAGCAAGGACATAATATATTTTACCGTCCTCGAATTAGCTCGTTTTGGCGGAAAGGAACAGAACAGAACTTGTTCAGTCGCCAATTGCGTTCCTTCCGTTTCTCCCTTCGTTTCCGCTACGGTAGCATTGGCTTTCGTTGGTTTGGGAGAATCCGCTTCTCAGGAGGAGAGGGAGAGTGTGGGGAGGAGTTGATGACAGTCAACGAGAAAGTTTCTTGTCGACTGTAGTGCACCGTGTGTCTATCAGACCTGGAGAGAGTCCGAGATTGTGGTAAGATATTTGATGTCTTAATCTCCAGGACGTCTACTTTTGCCTCGCGCCTCGTACTCTGCCGCTTGTGCTCTCCTCGCTTTCTTGCGATTTTTTGAGCAATAATTTGTTCAAATTTTGCCGCATTTCGTCCAACCCTGTGGCTGAGTCTGTGGAAGTTCTCGTCGTTCGGGAGGACAAATTGCTCGGTTTTAGCGGCTGGTTTTGTTAGGCTTTCTCACGTTGCTTCTCTTTGTCAGGGAAGTCGTTTCCGCTTGAATCTGATTCTGGTGGTAAATGCTCATATGGTTGGAGGCGCTGCGTGATTAGTTTCCAGCCCCTTTTTGATTTTTTCCTGTTACGAGCATTCTGTGAACAAGCGTTACAACGATGTTTTGAATTTCTCAATGCTTGTTTCAACTCGCAGGATTTTCCGCATACTCTTCAACGGCTCTCTCGTCCGTCCAAGCTTTTCAAATATAACAGTGAGTTTAGACTGTGGTTCGATGTATGGCAGTTACGTCTGTTTTCAAACATTGACTGCAAACAGGGAGAGAAATGTATGCAGCCAACGCTTTTTAGACCTTTGAGACTATTCTCGTTTGTAGCAGCTCATGACAGTAATGACCTTGACTGACACAAAAGTTCAAAACGTGGATATACTTAAGTGCATATTTTTCCCTCAATACCAAAGCTTCTGTAGCTTTGCTTTTGACATGACAATATGTTTAACAGCAATATAGTGACAGTCGTCTGTAAGGTTCGTGTACATTCAGATTTGTTCGTGCAAGGGTATCTGAACCTTTGTGCGTGACGAAGGGTCACTATATCACCTAGAACATGATTCAGTTGTGGGTTTAGGCCGTGGTTAATTACTGCTGTAGTATTGATTGTTTCTTCATGTTATGTCTTCATGTTTGAATGTGTATAGCAGTTCTTCGAGAGCTAAGTTATGCGTGTCTCGGATTTCGTTTTAATCAATGTCATGATGGAGCGTTTTCTATTTCCTCTTTGCGCTTGGAGCTCCTTCTCTCTGCAAGGTTTCATCCCTTATCTCACCGTTTACCGTTCCAATGTTCGGGTCTGTGGAGCTTGAACAGAAGAAGATTGTGGAGTTTATCGGGCGAGTGTTTAATGTTTGCTGCTGAGAAGAATGGTATGCTGGGGTTATGAGTGGCAGAGCAGGTACGAGTGTGCATTTTGGTTTTTTTGATCCTGTCGAGTTGGTCCTGCTATAGTATTGTATCAGTTACTGAGCTTGAAGATGCCAAATAAAGTTTCATGCTTTGGCATTTTTGTTATGAACGATGTATAGGATTCTGGTAATTTGACAGAGTTTTTGATTGCGTGGTATTTTATTTGTTTTTTTTACTCGACATAGTGCGTTGATGTATGCACATTTTTTCTGTAATTTACAGAGAATCGTTTTTTTTCATGATGTTCAAGCCTGAAAGACTGTTTTAGGGTATGAATTTTTAAGTCGTTCAATCACTTATATTCAAGTCAGTTTTGTCTTTTGTCAATCCGAATTTTAGAATATAGTAGACTTGAATTGGATTTATACCCTGTTTAGGATATGAATTCCAACTCAAATCCTCTACAGTTCCCTTCATTGTGTACAATCTTCCTGACACTTACCAAAATGTTGAAAGTATAACCATACATGCTTTTGGGTATCTTTATTTCATACGTACTACGTGTCCTAGGTTTTGCCGAATTCAGGAGATTACTTAATTTAGGCACTGCAGGATAGAAAGTTAGTCGATAACCGAGTCCGTTACTAGGCGAAACCACCAGCGTGAGTCAGTTTGCTGGACAATGAATCTATTTTCTATGATTCAAATGGGTTCCCATCGGACAAGCTATCATGATTGATTGACTTCTGATTGTTCAAACTTTGTGCTGGTTAGGTTTAGAAGTCTCTTTGGGGCCTTGATTACTTCCGTGATGTTAGATACTGTATCCCTTAGATAGCAAGCTAGGAAGAATAAACCTGGATACTTTGAGTAAGACTTCAGATTTTTGAGCACTTGTGCCTGCTTTTGAACTTTGATGATACCTCCAAAAGTACATCAGGCCGAGCCCAACGTTTACTATCCAGAAAGTCTCTGGAACCACTGCGAGTGGTCATGGATGATTGTATGATGCTTATTATACTGCAGTGAACTTTACAGCTACGTGTATTTTCATCCATTATCAAGATAATAATGGAAGGCTGTGTGGTATTATCATCTGCAGATGCGTGAGATTATCATTAGAAACGTCTACTTTGAGGCAATCTTTGAAGGTTTCTGCTTCAGGTTGTTATGATGTTCAGAGTCCTGTGAACATCTAAAGCGTCTCTGTAAGAGGTATGTTTTTTTACAGATGGGTGCGAATTACAAACAACATTCTTCATTTCTTCTTTCTACAAATGATGTGTAGGGTCTCTTTTGTTGCCAAATTTTCTGATGAGTTTAACATGTGACATTTGATTCGTGATAGCGTGACTCCCTTACAAAGTTGCTATGTTATCAGATGAATACTTATGGTGTAATGATATCGTAATGTCTTTCCTTTCCCCAATGCATTCATAAACTGTTAAGTAAAGTTTCAACCGTCGAATGATGTGACGATGTTCTGTCTTTCCCTAGTTTTTGACACACAAGTCGTACTATAATTCTATTATTTCAAATCTAATTTCCATTGGAGTCAGCAAACAACTTTTCAGAGTTTCTCACCACATGTGCCCATATAACCTACTAGTGCAGTGTGTATTCTTGTTATTCATTGCCCATCTTAGTAATTTGCTTGTTGGCATATGCTGTAGCGTTAAATGAATTTGTGGCTTTTCACTCTGAAAGTAGCTGTATAGCGTTTCAGGGGGCTTCATCGTTTGATGAAAAATAGGCCTAGTTTCTATTTTAAGGATATGCTTTATGAGTACGTTTTGACTTTGTATTAATAGTTGTTTTGTCGGAAAAGTGAAAATGGACGGAAATTCCCAGTAAGCCAGCCTCTACTCTTATTTCGCTTTCTCTGATTCCGCTGTGCTTTCCAGGCGCGGCGAGCGCTCACCCCTCACTAGGTAGAAGGGGGCAGTTACTATAACTTGCAGAGAGCATATATCTTTGATATCTCTTCTACATTTCCTTCCCGTCTTTTCCGACCTCATATAATGAGAAGACATTTTTTTATCTGTGTTTTGTTTTCAATCATGACATGTTCTCAAAAGATAGTTGTTCAAATTCATTTCTTGCTGTTTTTAATGTCTAGTTCATATCGGTTATTTTCCAATCAAGCGATGACTGTACTGTGCATGTGTCTGTCTTATGCAATTCATCAACCTTCAGGCTAAGGTTATTCAGTTCCAACATTTTGCATCGCAGTTTATCGCATTGATTTTGATCCAGAGGTTCTACTTTCTACTCCAGAGGTCTCTGGATTTAGACTTCGTCTTGGAGATGTGGGAGTTCATAGATATCTTGAAACTAACCGAGAACATCCCGATAATTGCACACATTAATTTGGGATTTTATGAAATTTACATCGATAATGTCGCACAACTTTATCTCGAACCCGAGAAAATAATGAAATAACTTGTGAAATATCTAGGTTTATCACCGGAGATATTTCAAAAGTTGTTTTCTTCCTCTCGGTTTCCCTGCACTAGCTCTGATTGTTTCAATTATGTATTTCTTCCACGCTGTAGGAAAGAAATAAGACAGGAAAGTGATTGTTTGGATCCTGCTTTGTTGTTCTCAAGAATGTTGTGTTAGCACTTTTTTCTCGTCCCATTTAGCCCATATTCTCGCTAAGACTGTCTTGTGTGCTTTCCTAGCTATCATGCGAATAAGAGTAGAGAGAAACATCTCTTGTTTAGGGTTTTGGTTGCTCTTTAGGTCATGCATTTTGCAAAATTCTTGTAATCCTTTAGCAACAGGTATACAATTTTGGAAATTGTTCAATCAGCGGAGAGAAGATTTTCTAACATTTGCATCTTGTAGGAGCAGTCTTGCCTTTCCATGAATTAAGAATTTGTTTAACAAAATCACACACATTGTAAGTCGCCTAAACATTCAGAGGAAGATCAGGGTTTCTCTTTTAATATCACATGCCTATCTCAACAGTCATGGAAAATTTCCGTGGTCTGTAGCGTTGTATTATCCTCACTTCCGATGTCTTGTGCAAGAATCTTGTTACTCAATACCCATCAGTATAGCCGCCGGGACTACATGACTATGGCATGATGGTCCTTTTATAGAATAGGAGTCGAGGAAACATCCGCATTTGGCTACGACAGTGCCGTATGCTCTCGTTGTTTTGTACGCATGTTCTGTTTCAGTTTCTTACACGTGCATTTCTTGCTATTGCTTCCTATTTACTGCACCTGGCACGTATGCTTCTGTTGTGGATACTCTATGTCTTGAACCCGTCGATGTATTCAGCAAGATGCTACGCCCTGTTTGGGATCCTGTCCTTACTGCTTGACAGGTCCAATTCGCGGGCTTATGCCTTAGGGGTAGGGCCCCTACCGTTGTACCCCGGGTCTTCTTGTATTAGGCCCATTGCCGTTGGTCACATGGTCACAAGTTAGAACTCTTGGAATCAGAGTATCATGCACTCATACCTTCAGAAAAATTTGCTTTGCAAGTCTTCAATGTAGTTTTAAATTAGGAGCTGGTTTTGGGGTATGAGCGCGTCAAGGGAATGTTTGTTTTCATGTGCTGACATTCACTTGAAATTTTTACAGTAAAGCGCAAGCAACGTCTGCTAAACGTGGATTTGTGGTTAGCGGACCAAGAAATGAACGGCGCCTTCACCGGCCAGATTCTGGCCGAAAAGCTTAATAAGCTGAATAGCTCTCGTCAGAGTATTGAGAGTATCCTCCAAATTTCAGTAATTTTTGTTATTTATTTCAGTTGCATGGGAGATTCTTGTATTATAACAATGATCATTCATGACTAATGGCAAATTGTGGGTTTGCCACTTGTCTTCCTAGATGCATGACAGACAATTAAAATTTCGATCGTAGCTTTTCAAATAAATAGGGTCATAATTTATCACCAGGAAATTAGATAGGACCAGGAGCGACCACCAGCAAAATGTCACAGAATTTAGTCTTATTGTGGAAGCATCAATCGCTGCTTCTGGCTGTAAATTAAGCGTCAATTACAGGAAGGTGCACGCATAATAGTTATCTGTTTTGAAGACTCTCACTAAATTGTAAGTGGAATTTGTGTTTGGTGTGAACCTTAATGTCCTGTAAGCTCTTTCACACTGGTGTATATTTCACCGTAAAAAAGCGAAACAAGTGGTGCAAACATGGGAGAGAGCTTTTCATGACGCTCCAAGAGAGCAGCGCGTACCATTTTTGTATCTTGCTAATGACATATTGCAAAACAGCCGACGGAAAGGTGGCGAGTTTGTTACAGAATTTTGGAAAGTTCTCTCTGGAGCCTTAAGGGATGTGATGGAGCATGGAGATGACAGTGGACGTGCCGCTGTTTATCGTCTTGTAAGTTTATATTGTTGTGTTTATCTGGATACTTTGAGTGTATTCTAAGATATATCTATTTCTTCAAGTAATTGAAAGTAGAAGTTACAAAGATGAAGTGTTTTGTCAGGTTGACATATGGGAAGAGAGAAGAGTTTTTGGATCAAGAGGCAGCAGTCTGCGCGAAGAGCTACTCTTCAAAGCTCCTCTTTCTCCGGTTCATGACAATGTCACTGTTGAGCGAGAAAAACCTCCTGCTTCACCCCCTAAAGTTGTAAGTTTGAGTACAAGATACCTTCTTGCTTGTTTGCACAGTGTTGTGGGATGTTCACACCTTTCGTCTACGGCCTTGTAAATGATGCTGGATTCTTACAATCTAATGCTCTGCAATTTGCTTTTGAAGGGTCCTGTTGGGTTTCTGGAGAAGTTTGCAGCGGCATATCAAGCCGTACAAGATGGGCAAACTGAAGAGGATGAAGCCCTCCAGAACTGTAATTATGCAATAAGTCATGTTGAAAGTCTGGAGAAGGAGGCAGAAAGTCGCAACAGTGCGGGTACATTCTCTCTGTGAACATACTGTCCTTTTGGTGTCCATCCAATAGGTCCTTGATAGGATACTTTTTGGCGAATAGAGATATCCTTGTCCCATTACCAGAATTATTTTAATACACTAAAAAACTAAATCTCCAAATTGAGCTGGCTGTGTAGGGATGTACATCTGTTGGATAATTTAGAGGATATCACTAGTCTTAGATATGCATGGTCTCATGGATTGTAATTGTTTTACCGGTAACCTTAACTGCGAAATGAGCTGAATATATTTTAGAAATCTTAGTATTAAAGAATATGTTGGTAATCATAGGAGGAGTACAGGATTCTATTGCTGACGAACTGCAAGAGCAGCAAGCTGTTTTAGGACACTGTATAGAGCAGCTGGAGTCAAGTGAGATGACTCGGGCAACACTGGTCTCTCAACTTAAGGAAGTGCTTCATGAACAGGTATGTACTTTTCTTATCTTAGACTGCCCATGGAATTTGAGAAGTCTTGAAAGGACTTAGAAAAATGAATAGAGATCGACACGACACATACATTCTTGATGATTCGAAGCTTCAGACTAAGGTTGCGATGTATGAGTCACTCTTCTCAGTCTAAAGATGGAGACATTTGTGCTGGGATATTGCCGTGACAGTAATAATAGTTTGCATCATGCCTTTTTTTTGCGCCACATGCTTAGTAACCCATTGCCAAAGTAATTCGAAACCTAAGTAATTCGAAACTTCAGTTATAAGCATTGAACGTTCTGTGCTCATCTTTCGAATCTCCCATCTTTCTGTTCTTTTCCTCATCTGTCATTGTTGACACTCTATTACTGGGATGGTTGAGTGTTCTTTACTATCAAAATACATGTGGTATTGTGCGGCATGAAATCAGTATCAGATGGGCCTTCAGATTTCCACTCTTGTCTCCATGGAACCTTAGGTTCTGAGGTCTCTTTGATAGCACTGCCACTCATTTACATTTTTATCCTGTAGTAGGTGAAGTTCAACTAACAAACACTCATGACCCCTTAACTACAGGAGAGCAAACTGGAGCATTTGCGAACCCAACTTCAGGTCTGGTCCTTTTGTCTGAACCTTTGTTTTCAAGAAGATGATGTAACAAATGATGTGATGGGAGCATTGTCTTCTCACTAGTATTTGGCTGTCTTGGCTTTGAAGATGTAGACCCCAACCATGGACTTAAATGATCGGCTGAGAGGTGATAGATATGAGTGGATGAGCAATACCCGTCTATGTCCTTATTCAGTAGGTTGTGTTTGTGATTTGTTTTTCTAATAATTGTCAGTTGTGTAAGATGTGACAAAATTATATGAGTAAACCAATTTCTTGATGTGGATATTATTATCAGGTTCTAGTTCACTGTGTAGGTGTTTTACCTCTTTCAAGTTCTCAACTCTTACATCTCTTCTTGCTTTGTGCCAGATAGCCCAAGCCCAAGCAGAGCAGGCTGGAAGTGTTCGACAACGGTTGCTAACAGGTAGCCCCAGCCTTAGTGATCTTAGTCCTGTCGGACGAGAAAATGGAGGTTCTACTCGAGATGCAAGTCTCAACCACCATCCTGACGGTTCATCAGTTTTATCTGACAAGGACAACAATAACTCAAGGATGAATGTAACTGGGAGTCAGCAACCTTCATCGGGTTCCATGGGGATGGAGAGAACTGCACCTTTGGATGATGACAGCAAGAAGCAGAATAACGGCAATGCAGCAGCGGCAGCAGCTGAAGTTGCTGCAAAACTAGCAGCCAATACATCTTCTGCAGCAATGCTTACCTCTGTGTTGTCATCTTTGGCTGCAGAGGAAGCTCGGACACCAGCTTCTATGGCTCTTGATGTTCCTAACCTTGGGAGACCTTTGGACAAGCGACAGCGAATCGATGTCAGGCCTGACGGGTCTGACCAGGTTCAGTCTTACGCAATGGCCCCACAACCATCCCATCAACAGCAGACTCACCAGCATCAACTTCCACAACCTCCACCTATGGGGCAATATATGCAGCAGCCTATGATGTCTATGCAGTATGCTTATGGGGGTCCATTGCCACCACCTCCCCCAATGCAAGGCCATCCGATGATGCAATTGGCAAGGATGGGTGGTCCTCCTCAACCCCTCCCTCCAGGCTGTGGAACACAACAGCCCCCTTATCAACCACTGCAGCCTCCCAACATGGGTTACTATAGCTCACCGCCATTGCCTGCTCCTCCTGCCCCGATCCGACCACAATGAAACATCAAGCTAAGGTTTAATTACGTGCAAGTTAGGTTCCTGTTCATGTACAACGATGTCGCACCCAAGAACGGATTGTACTAACCCGGTGCTTTGGGTTTATGTGTATAGTGCCTTAGTTAGCAAAAGCTTGATGTGTGTGTGTTTGTGTGTTGGTAGGATGTAGCAAGATATAGTGTTTAGTCTAGTGTAGTGTCTAGATCTAAACATGGCTTCTCTTTATTCTGGAGGCGGAGATCTTGCCATGATGTAAGGTTGCACATCAATTTTTCTCCTAGTCTACGCTGTGCTGTATTTGTCTGCACAGGAATTGGTGTGTTGAGTTCAAATTGTATTGTCTACTTTGAGTTACTTCTCTGTATGTAGTACTTAATTTAGTTCACGGAGGCTTCACTTTTGTTTTGTTTCCTCACATCCAGCAACATGACAGAAACCTGCAATTGCTCCAACGCATCTACAGAACGTCAACAGAGGCGAGCTGAAATTACTTCTGCTAAGACTGGCATGGGGACCAGCACTGTTCTAATTCGTTCTCAATATAGAAGGTTACATGTCATTGAGGCGCATAATGTCTTCATAGCTAGCTGCTTTCAGAAAGGCAGCGAGCGATAGGGATATACTAACTTGCTGGCGTATACTCCTTGTCTGAGTCTCACAATTTTTAGCCTATCTATTGCAAATCTCTTTTCTTCAACCTTTCTCTAGTTTTAATCCTCCGTTGAGTTTTTAGACTTATCTCATGTTTGTTGTTGGCGGCTTGATGGTTTTCGAGGAGACTTTGTATCTTGATTGGAAAGTTCTAGTGAGATTCATAGGTCGAAGGTGAGAGTGAAATTAACTCTCAATAAATTTGAAGAGAAGGAAGCACATAGTTAACACGTGATTGTGTTCTGGAAATGCATGTAAGTTACAGATCTAATTTCAATATATGGTGTTTAAAATGTTGCACAGGATTAATATGCATATCGACTGTCGTTTTGTATGATATATACCTATTTTCAATGTTTTTCTTGCATCTCTCGGTGAATCATATGAGCGCTGGAGACCATTTCTTTACATTATCCTCTGGCAATGGAATTATGTGATCATGATGGTAATAATTTTTGGTCCTAAGGATTTCACAATCGCATATGTGTACCGCCCATTGGGAGTAACGATCACGGACAACGTTTATTCAAATTCTTATGTGTTAAACCATGCACCAAGTGCATCGACCACTTTATCAGCCATTCACATATATTGTCATACGGAAGATTTGCGCATGTGTACTCCTCACTATTCTTCAAATCCGCGACTTTCGTTTTTAATTCGAGTGATTTTGATTGTCTTCTATGCAGTTACCTTCATCTCATGTCCAGCTTTCGCCATCTGATGCCTTCTTGCGTTTTGGACTTTAAAGCTGAGGTAGCTCCCTCTCAAGGATTGTGGGTCTGATTTGTCAGTAAATGTCGCCTTGTAATAGATGACATTTTTTGGAAGTTCGGAAGTTCGTAATTCGTGATTCTTTTTCTTGGACGTGTCACTCCCGGGGTTATGTTTTTGTCTTGGATTGGAACTAGGGTACTAAAAGACTGATGAAAGGATCACTTACTTACGTCTTACTATGGTATAACTAGTTTGATCATGTACTGACGCGGAGCATCACGATGATGATACGACCCTCGTCACACTCTTCATAGATGAACTAGAACGAATTTGCATATGGGAAAAATTTTACGAAGAAAATACGTGGGCCGTTTTCAACATGAAGCTTATTCTCGAATTCTGATGCGGCGTCAGGAAAAATAACATGAACTCGAAAGATGTTTACACATCAACTGAGACTGAGTTGTCAGTCGCTTTACATATCTACGGGATGGATTCGTGGCAGATCTGTACGCTAGAAACTACTCGTCATCCGAAAACTCAAGCTTTGGTCCAATGCTCTGTTAGTTCGATTCCAAGTCCAATACCGCAGGATGAAGCTTGACTACTGCAAGCAACCTAGACATACTCTTTGCTCCGCCAAGTTTATCTCTCAAGTTTACTACTAACACCTACTTCAATTGGAAAATATGGGCAACAAGTTAGAACATGCAGTCATATTCAAACTTGCTGAATCAAAAGTGTATCTTTGTATCGTATAAACTGGGAAATACACACAAAATATGCCCAAAATGATCAATTCTATAAAACAAAAGAATATTTCCTCGATAGTCAAATAGTTGATAGTAGATAATGAGTAGAATAAGTCAAATGAATGTGAAATAAAAAATTCATCATTATACTCTTGCTTTACTTAAATATATAATGTAATGTGTTGTGCACTTATTGTATTATAACATACATTGATATAGAAGATAATGATTTTATTAAGTTAATTTATGGAAGAATTATAAACTTATTCTTATAGAGAAGTTAAAGACTTGATTTATAAATTTGAGTGTAATATTACTATGTAACGTGAGATGAAATCATTCATGACAGAATTATTTAAGAATTCTATTATTCTTGATTTTATCAAAGTTTTTTATAATCTCATAAAAAAACTTGATACATGACATCTCTATAAAACCTATAAAAGTAACTAGTATAGATCTAGCAGAAAGTTTGTGGAAGGAGGATGTAAGGAGTACATCCAAAGACTTTAAAGTGCTTACCATTTGGAATGAGACCTGTCAACCGCTGAAAAGGAGTTTCCATCTATACTGCCTTTGTTGGCTACCGATTAAAGATATAAACAACTGTTCTTGCTGCCTTCTCCCATAGAGCCTTAGGTAATTGAGCATAAAGTAGTAAACTTCGAGCCATCTCAACTACAGTCCTCCTCTTTCGTTAAGATACACCATTTTGATGTGGAGTGTAAGCACAAGTTAAGACATGATGAAAACCTGATTTTACGCAGAATGCATGATATGCCTTGGAGAGATATTCTCCCCCTCTGTCCGTGCGTAATGCCACAATCTTGTGAGTGTAACTATTCTCCACCATAACTTTGAATTCTTGAAATTGCTGTACTGCCTCATCTTTAGTACTCAGAAAATAAATCCAAGTATACCTCGTAAAATCGTCAGAAAACATCAGTATATATCGTTTCTTTGTTAAGGATTCAGAAGGGAGAGACCCGCATAAATCAGAGTGCAACAATTGTAATGAACGGGTTGTTTGAATCTGAGAGTGTTTGGGGATACAATCTTGACTTTGCTTTGCTTTCAGACAAGTAGCACACAAAGACCTAATGTGACGTATTTGAGGAATTCCGACAACCAGCTTCTTAAAGGTCATCAAATGGAGTTTTTGATAGTTTGCATGATCCATACTACGATGCCAAAGTTCTGCTTGAGAGACTAAATAGGTTTGAAGATCGGGTTTAGATTCTTCTAAATTTCAAACTATAGTGGAACGAAGAAGTTGTGTTGAAGAAGATGGCGTTGTGATGGCCGGTGAGAGAACTCCAAGCTTAATTAGCTTGTATAAACTATTGTGTGGATCGCGTTCTTCCTGCAATAGTATGCTACATAGAATTACTATATCAAATACATAAAAATTCTTGGAGTTAAAAAGTGCTACATGGCCAAAATCAGTCAAACGTTCAACAGACATCAATTTTTTTCCCACATTACGCACGTAGAAAACATCATACACCTTCTTCTGATTTAATGTAAGTGATACCTTTTCACAAACTGGAAGAACCTGATTGCCTGCAGTTCTAACTGAGATATGGTCAGCCTGATTTTTGATATTAGTAAGAAGTGAACTATCTCTAGTTAAGTGTTAGGAGTCTCCACTATCAAAAAACCATGACTGTTTTCTACTTGACTCAGACTTGCAGAAAGTACATTTGCTGCATCGTTGGCTACTATATTTTCTATGACAGTAACATCGTCATTATCAAGGAACACGACATCAGCTTACTCAAAAGTAACCTTAAAAACATTCCATGTTGTTTGCCTCAGACTGCTTAGAGTTCTTCAGAGTGTTGTAGAAAATCTGAAGCGCTTCAAGCTCTTTCTGAAGTTGGTGCTGACGGCATTTGTACGATCAATGTCCCACCTATCCGCATTTATGCAATTGATGGGTTTCAGGCTTGGAGAAGCAGATTGTGAGGAGCTATTTCTGTTGTAAGATCTTTCCTTACAACGCTAAGAGGGATTACGATTGTTAGTGTATATGTGAGGAGAATAATTCTGGAAATAACCACATGGCGGTTGTGAAACTCAATGTGATCACGGTTGCTCGAGCTTCTTCAGTCAGATCCGTTTAGTCACGATCATTGTTGGATCGTTGGAATGAAACAAATCTTCTTTTATCTGTATGATATTGTTGCTTGTCTTGCCTGTTGCGCTGGGTGGTGGCAATAAGAGACTCGGTTGATATGCCGGTTCGGTTAGATCTGAACTCTCGGTTCATTTCTTCATCAGTAAGAAGAGTAAAAAATTGTGAAAGCGTATAAGTATTATGAACAATGTTAGCTTTAATGGAAGAAGCAAATCCTGACCAACTGGTAGGCAAACGCATCAGAATGAGAGGTATAAGTGCTGAGTCTTTGACCGTATTGTTGCAGTTTGACAGTTGGTTAGTGAGGTTTCCAATAGCACGCATGTGAGTTTCCATAGACTGAACCTCCCTCATTGAGAGATTGAACAGTTTTGTTGCAAAAGCTAGCGTCAATCCTCATTAGGGGACGCAAATAGTGTCTCTAACTCTTTCCACATTAGATGAGGATCAGACATTGCAGAGATATGATGAACAATGTGCTCGCGCACATTCATCATAATGTAGTACACAACGTCATCACGCTATCCGAGATTGTTGTTTTCTACTGAATTTCTTCATTGGCACCCTCTCGTTCTTGCTTGGCCTTGATTGCATTTTTATGTGCGTGCTCGGACAGTACTTCGGGAACTTCGAGTGCACGTAGTACCGTCGGTAAAGCATTGCTACGTTCGACTGCTGCATAACATTTCTTCTTGCGGAAGATGGTTCGCATTCGCGCAGCCCAAGAAGTGTAGTTGTCGATGCCGTCCAACTTATGTGTTGGATCGATGTCCTTCGCTGCCCTCGAGAAATCCATGATGCCTAACGGAATAGAAAGAGAAAAAAAACTTCAAATAATGAGGTCAACAAGTTCACGCATTCACAATCTTAATTAGAGTATCAAAGAGAACATTTAAGTCGTGATACCATGTTGGAATTTCTGATTTGTTATCAGGAAGACTGTTTTACTTAGTAGTGCTTGTACATATAGTGTAGTGTCGTCTACAAGTACAATCTATAACGGTAATGGATAACAAATAAGGTGTGTCCACTGACTTTGACACTGTATTTAGCACTCAGAGTATCTAACTTATTCTAACAGCTCCACGAATACGCAAAGTAGGCATAAGCTCGACTGCAGTCGCTTCGAACGCCTTGCGAGTGATGGAATCAGTAAGAGTGATGTGGAAGCATGAGATTTGCTTCGTACTTGAGAACGGGAAAAGCTGAGTTGAGAGACACTGCGCTGACTGTCAAGTAGCCTGACACTCCTCTGAAGGAGCCCGTGCCAGAGCTGACGGCCTCCTCCCAAGACGGCGCGGTGAAGTCGATCCTGGCAGAGCCTGACATGGTTCCGGAGTAGCCGTGAATCGTGATGTCCAGCGCGAAAGAAATGAACTTCTTGCTTGGATCGTTGAGTGAGACTAAAACGCCGGAGTGGTGCCCGATCTGAGCTGAAGCATTGGAAGCTGTCTTTCTGATAACGCTGTCGAAGACGATGATATCGCCGAGTTGAAATGGGCCCGTGAGAGTGGCGTTGGCGCCGGCCACTGCTACAGCCGTAACGTTGGGCGGCACGAAGTCGTCGTGCAGGTAGTACGTGAAATTCACGGCCTTCATCTTCATCTTCATGGCGCTCGCAGGGGTCCACAGTCCTGAGGAAAGGATACACAGGGCACAGAGAAACACGCCCAGAGTCCACGTCCCATTAGTTCTTTCCATGCTGTGGCTGTGAATTCGGAGTTCGAGAAGTCGCTAGTTTCAGAAAAAGAGGGTGAGTGATCAGCTACTCAAGATATCGCTTCTAGGAGTCTGTCAATAGATGGCCTTTGTCCAGGCGAATGCGGATGATCCCGAGCGCTAAAAAGTGGTTCTTGCGTCAAGGAGATCGGAAAGAGTGATCCATGCTCACAACTGCAACAGATGCTTGCTTATATAAGGTCGTACACGTGAGGAATTGCGGATCTTTTCAATTTCCAGAGTCACGATCCCGCAGCCACGTCCATGGCCCACAGCGTCATTGCAGGCGCTCGATGGCCGGTCCCCAGTCCGAGGTCCGAAGGAAGTCGCAGAATAGGCCAAAGAGACCGGATCTCTTAGAAAGACCTCCAGAACTTCGGTAGATGCTTGTTGGTATGGTGCTTGTTGCATAATAAAAAATATGCAGAGAAATTCATTAAGATGGTATTTTCTGATCATGGAGTATAGTATGACGAGCTGTGCCAAAACTCGAGTGAAAAATAATTCCTCTCCAAATTTCTCCCAATCATATGTAGATTGAGATGAGTAAGTTCATCATCAAGAGAAAATCATGGATTGAGCAGTTTTAGATTCAGAGTGATTCGATTGGAAAACATATAGGTTTCTTTTCTCTTTGATTTCAAAAGACTTGAAATTTCATGAAGGTGAGATAATATCGTTACTACAACCTATAATGCAACGTGTGTCAATGTTCTTTCAGTACATAAGCAACCCATTTCATATTCTTCATGGCTACTCTTAGGAAGGGGATCAGTTTCTTTTCATGACCATTCTCTACAGGGGGCATCTAGATCTCAATTTTCACCTTGAGACGCTGATCTTCTTTTAGTCTCCAGACGCAGAAATCGCTTCCTCCTCTGTAGAAGTTAAGTTCGCCGTTTGTCGAAGAACCTGTATTTTTATTGTTGTAGACTATTGCCAGATCCAGCGAGAGCTGAAGCACGTGAGGGAAACACCATTGACATATATATTTGCTCTTGAAACCATGAGTTCATCTGCTACCATCAGATAACCAGCTGACCTAGAATTGGCGTTCCTTTGCGACAAATCTGCTCATGTCGTGGAACATGCTCACAAGTTCAAGGTTATTTTGTATCATCAGTACCAAATCTAGTTCTCCTTCAAACGTCAGTAATTGTAAACAAAACTACAAGCCGATCGTTTCTTTCCACGATTAAATGTCCTCTGCACCAACCATGCAGTCCAAGTCTTCGTTGTAACTGCACGAGTTTCGGAAGAGGACTGACCCCATTAAACCAAATCCCTTGTAACACCCTAATGAGATTCTCCAAATCGGTCAAGAAAGAATACTTCCACGACTGACCACTCCTGCTTTTATGTTTTCATGCAATTATTTATTTATTTATATCGTTTATTAGTCCTCAGGACATTTGCTTTGCTATAATAAACCCCATCGAAGGTATGAATCAAGCAAGTCATAAGTTGTTTTTTCGTTGCTTACTCTCTCGTCTGGAAGGAATGAGACTGTCGCTGCAAAGGAGTCTTCTTGCTTTTCTCGTGAGGTGATATTCTTTCTTTCTAGTGTACACCAAGTAACACGTCTCTCATCAAAGTCACATGAACTCGCAAGGGGCTGAACAGTTGGGCTTGCATGGAGATGATGGATTATATTCTCAATCAGATAGATCCCTCGATCCGTCAACCCCAGATTGTACTAGTGGGTGATTGAACTCTTTGAGTGTGATGCGTCGTCTCCTAGAGAGCGAGCAGTCCATGTTCCGATCCTTGAGTATATCATCTTCGCGACTTTATACGAATATGTTACTTGTCAGGTCATTGGCATGCTAAACCTTTTCAGTTTTAAATGCCAACAAGGTTATGGCACCGAAACTCACCTCAAGGAAACTGAAACAATGTTGTTGGCTCCGAGTTTTTCATAAAATATGAATTCACTTTGTTGTACGCTCTTGCCATCTCTCCCTTCACATTCTTGTCCTAGGTGGGCCGGAATACATGAAAATGGAGAAATTCAACCACAGTGCGGTAGATGCTTTGGATCTGGAAAGGAAAGGAAGACTGTAACGCAGACCATTATTCTCCTTTAGGGTAGGGCACACAATGTCCCAGATACCCCGTAGTCACCACCCTCATAAGACTTGGAAGTGGCAGAGACGAACAAGCACATTAAGCAGCTGCCTACGACTCGCCGTTGTTCGTCCCCGAAGGACAAAATTTATGGTCCATGCACTATGAATTCAGGGGAAGAAAAGCTTATCCTGCCAAATAAACTGAAGCTCCGCGGGTAGACGATGGCTGCGGATGGCAGAACCAAGGAAATGGAATTGTCCGTAGTTACACCATGTCTCAATACCGCTGCTAGCACAGACTTAGGCGAGTCTTCCTGTTTGCGTCTGGTAAGTAATCGGAGCCATAAGGCTCCGATCGGGTTCGGGTAAAACCCGAAAACCCGAGTTTGGGTCGGATAGGGTTCGGGTAGAGGGCTGTACACGGCCCGAAGCCCGAAAATTAAGCTGGGCGAGCTGATACGATGTTTACTTATCCGAGACCTCCGGGATAAACTTTTTGTGAAAAAAAAGGCAAGGAGATTAGAGGCTGCGATCGGGTGATTCTCCGAAGCGAAGAGACCCTGAATGCATCTTCGCGAATCTTTTTCAAAGTGTTGGTAACGTAGCGTTCTGTAAATAGTTGAAGGTTGCTGATGAAAACAGCGGGAGATATCCAAAGTGATTATGGTGAAATGAGTAAAGCAATGACCGATAAGAGCTCAGCTGCAAGTCCAGCTGGTACGTCTTCGTCTGCATTGGCTTCCACTCCGTTTCGCTAAAATCTGCTCCTCGTCCCGCCTCTTGCTCGCTAGCTTCTGCGTCTAGCTGGCCGCGCTGCGCTATTCTATTCGTCCTGACTCATCGAAAAATTCTTGCATCGCCTCCTCTTCAAAAAAATACTCGAAGCTCCATTTCCCAGTTCTCCCTCGCCGCACCTTCACGATCATGGATCCCCGCGGGATCGATTCGGGTTCAACCCGAATCGATCATCTGGTCGGGTTCGGGTTGAAGGTCATACCCGACCCAAACCCGACCCGAACCCGACCCGATCGGAGCCCTAGTAATAATCGCAAACTCGACGAAATGGCTTCACAGGCTGCATGCCCCTTTTCACTCACGCCATATTGCAGGATCAGACGCGACGCTAACGAAGAGCAAAGAGCAAAGGCTGAGGCTATGATGGGATTCCTTTACGATCTCCTACACTTCAGGCAGCGCAACTTTGCCGAAGTTCTGGAGGTCTTTCTAAGAGATCCGGTCTTCCTTCGGACCGGTTCCGGCCATCGAGCGCCTGCAATGACGCTGTGGACCATGGACGTAGCTGCGGGATCCAGATCTTGAAATTGAAAAGATAAAAAGATCCGCAACTCCTCATGTGTACGACCTTATATAAGCAAGCATCTGTTGCAGTTGTGAGCATGGATCACTCTTTCCGATCTCCTTGACGCAAGAACCACTTTTTAGCGCTCGGGATCATCCGCATTCGCCTGGACAAAGGCCATCTATTGACAGACTCCTAGAAGTGATAGCTTGAGTAGCTGATCGACCGCAGCGAGGCACTCACCCTCTTGTTCTGAACCTAGCGACTTCTCGAACTCCAAATTCACAGCCACAGCATGGATAGAACTAATGGGACGTGGACTCTGGGCGTGTTTCTCTGTGCCCTGTGTATCCTTTCCTCAGGACTGTGGACCCCTGCGAGCGCCATGAAGATGAAGATGAAGGCCGTGAATTTCACGTACTACCTGCACGACGACTTCGTGCCGCCCAACGTTACGGCTGTAGCAGTGGCCGGCGCCAACGCCACTCTCACGGGCCCATTTCAACTCGGCGATATCATCGTCTTCGACAGCGTTATCAGAAAGACAGCTTCCAATGCTTCAGCTCAGATCGGGCACCACTCCGGCGTTTTAGTCTCACTCAACGATCCAAGCAAGAAGTTCATTTCTTTCGCGCTGGACATCACGATTCACGGCTACTCCGGAACCATGTCAGGCTCTGCCAGGATCGACTTCACCGCGCCGTCTTGGGAGGAGGCCGTCAGCTCTGGCACGGGCTCCTTCAGAGGAGTGTCAGGCTACTTGACAGTCAGCGCAGTGTCTCTCAACTCAGCTTTTCCCGTTCTCAAGTACGAAGCAAATCTCATGCTTCCACATCAGTCTTACTGACTCCATCACTCGCAAGGCGTCAAACTCAGACGCCTCCCAGTTGGCTGTTAGATGTTTGGATTCTAGTTCCGTGTCACCGAAAGTCCCCCCCATAACTAAATCGTCCGTGTGTGTAGTGTGTGAGAAACCGTTGGATTTATCATGTCCTTACGACAGTTCATTATTACGATGATCGTGCCTCTTGTATACACACCCAACTTATTCGCCTCACTGATCTCCATGAGAACACAGCCGGAAGATCCTCCACTTCCACATTCCTCGTCCTGCTGCAATGTTACAGTTACCCGGTCAATAGGCTGAGTTAATCTGCGGTGGTACTGATCGATGCCTCGACACCAGTACACTCGAAGGGTATACTTTTTATCGTCATCTCTCCCTATGTCAGTTTAGGTAACGCAATAGTGCAGTTCGAATAAGCATTTGGATATTGTAATCCTGCAACTCCATAGGTAACAGAACACATTGATTGCAAAATAGTCCGGAGAACATGCTATGAAACAAAGGTATTTGTCTGATGGGATCCATCCGAACCTAAACGGTTTGATGTGACCCATCAAGTTTCTTTCCGAGGGAATACTACCTATGGAACATCGACTCTGTAAATTCTAAAACATTTTATTATATTAAACTTATTATATTATTGAATGTCATTGCTTCCAGAAGTTTAAGTAGTGGGTGCCCGGTTTTCAGAGTAAGAGTCAAACCAAGAAGGTGTGAAACAACAGGCGTTCCTTAACTACATACTTATCGAGAGAGGTAATATCGAAGAAATTGGTGCCAATCAGTAGCGAACTGAGATCCATTGAGTGCAGCTGCTCATTTATTTCAGAAGTTAACTGCCTTGACATTGTAAAAGTGGCGATAGGTTGGTAGCGCACACGGCATTCACGCCAGAGCTCGAAAGGAAGATTTGCACTCGGCATGGAATAGAAAGGGCTAGTCGAGATGACTAAAATTTATTTTTTATTCAATGGCTCGTTACTTTGTTTACTTTTTTAATCATAGGTTACCCATATGCCCTGTACTGTAAATCCCCTGATAAATCGTACCTACGTACTTCTCAGGTCTTGTGTTTGCCTCATTTCCTCCTTCAGATAGTTACACACTATTACACTCGAGAGATGAATACAGAGATGCTCTCATATATCTTCGCTCTCACCTTCCTGGTCACGGTACGAAAATAAATACTCTTGAAAGATATAATGTTTATGCAGTATCTAAAAGTCCCCCTTCGAGATGGACACGCACTACAGTCACAACATCTACAGGCTAAGTCTAGGAGCAAGAGTAAAAATTTCACTAAAGCACAAGTGTATACACGGCCTTCATAGCCAAGCTCTACTCTTTCTTGCTCACTCTCAAAGTTCAACTCTGAATTGTACGTAGTGAAGGGGTACTTCTCTCTTCTATACAAGTAAAGATAAGATGCACATCTTAACTAACCACAATTAATTTTACTTACCATGGTTATCACTAACTAGAATTAATTCAATTTAAAGTTAACCCAGCAGTTTCATTGTTGCAAAATGAGAATGTCTCATCTTCCTGTTGAAGATAGAGACATGTTTGATAGTCTCCAGAAAAAGAGATTCCAAGCGGATATGGTAAACTGATTTGAGCTCACATCCTGAGTCACATGCAAGAAGATGACTTTAGAGTCTATTGTGAGGGTTTAAGAAAGGGAGTTGTTGTTAGACGGTTTCAACTTATTTTGCTATCACCTGAACAGGATAACACTTGCTTGGTATATGAAGGAGTCTGCTAGTAAAATATCTCCCTACTGCCCTCACTTGTTCCTTCCAGTTAATAAATAAAGTATTATTACTATACAAACTCTATAAAGACACTCTTCACCATGACCAAGAAACAATTTGAGAAGGATTACGGTAAGGAATGAGTCTTTTATATCATAAGTTTCCCACTTGATAATGTCATTGTCAAACCATGGGTGTAAGTCTACTGAAGGTTCTATATTTCAAATCAATAGTCAGTAAAGCCTCATAATAAGATGCTTACACAGCTCGCATCTTCCCGAAGGAATAAATGTTCTCGTTTGGACGCCTTGAGTAACATGACAGGAGTCCACGAAAGAAAGTTCTCACAGGCCCGCCCTTGAAGGCAATCCCCCAACTCGTGAAGAAAAAGGAAGCAGATAGAAACAAATCCGTTAGATCACTTGGATGTCTTCGTCGCCTACGGAATGAGCGAGGCGGGACGTTCTTCACGCTGAGCCGAACCCAGTGTCACGGCTAGCCCAGCCAGTGATATTCGCCACCATCTGACGGGAAGAAAATTATTTGATGGGACCCAACAGGTTTTATTTTAAGGTATGTGATTCTATTGACGACATTGCGTCACACTGTCAGGTATGTTACAATAAGAGTTGGGGTTATTCGGATAGGAACATGAAGTCACGGCGATACCCGTAGCTTTCTCATACATGACTATGAACGAGTCGCCAAAATATTCTAGCCCGACAGTGGCAGACACTCCCGAGCGTAGTTAACCTGGAGGTGAGTAATTAGGTGAATCACTTCTTAATAGAATTGGAGAACCTGTCAAAATTGCCACACGATTGAGAGAAGAACCTGTATCTCAATTAACTGAACTTACACTCACACACATAATCCTGTATTCGGTTCCGGTGAACTAATGATCATCAAGGTTATACGCTTTTTCGACGAGTCACAAGGAAAAACCTACCAAAAATAACTAGTAAGTTTTTGCGTGATACATATATAATTTACAAAGATGCGTATGAGTTCAAATTGTTAGAACAAATATGCAGATTTTACCCGGACATATCTTCAAAATTATTATAATACAAATTTTTTTGAGGTGAATCACTTCTTAATATTTTGATTCGATTATAATGTCCAAGAACCAAAACTAAACTACAAAATAAATCTTAGCTATGTAATGTAAGTTGAACAACACAACTACTTACTTTTAGTGGAAGCATATGTGTTTCCAATAAAAGTTCTCTAGCTCGCAACAAAGATGTTAGTGGAACAGCTATAAAACATATTCGAGACAAGCATACACAAACCTGAAAAAGATATGATTTATTATCTCATGAACCTAGGGAGACTATTTTTCAATACTGATTAATGTTATATTCATTTTGAAGAAATGCTTTATATTCAGATTAATAGCATGCGTAGGGACATTTGTCTCATTCCCCCATCTCCAAAACAAAAAGTTTTGAATCAAATTTATAAATTTTGACTAAATCAATCACATGGTGATGAGGATTGCACAAGGTGTTGTTAAAAGTCAATAAATCCGAAAGTGGATTACTGAAAACTTTAGACGGATTTTAAGTTTTTATTGCCGAACATGGTCTGAAAACATATGCAATATGGTGCATAACGGCTTATTATTTTAACTACTACAAACTCTTAGTACTAAATGAGGAAACATCAATAAAAAATTAATTTTCAAACAACAATATTCAAAACTTGCTTAATTTTACAATCTCTGATATTTGCAGGAGAAATTTATGCGTACTTACATACAGATGCGTACAGATCCTGCTCAAGTATGGTCGTGGCAGAGGCTCTACAGGTTTGAAAAGACATACATCTGAAATCTCCAGATGCTCGCTTTAGGGTTCCAAACAAACTTAGGGTGCCCAACATGGCAGCGGGAACACAACCGGAATAAAAAAGTTTGAATCAAAAAAATAATGAACATGGCAGTTTAGATATATTGGTATTATTGTCAATGTAAAGTTGACAATAATATCAATGTAATGTTCATCTATAGCTTCAAAATTGATATTGAAGCTTTGGATGAAGTTTTTTAAAACTTCAAGTATAAGTGTTGATATAATTCATGAATCAAACATTCAAACATTTACTTTAATACATAAGCTTGTGATGAAAGCGATGGGATTACTTGTTGTATTAACTACTACTCAAGGACACTAGATGTGATTTGTTGTTGTAGCAATCTTAATTGAGTTGAATAACAAATAATAATTATTGATACAAGATTTATCATTGTATTTGATAAAAAATCTTCATTTCATCTACAAGTCTACACCATGCAAATATTGATTCAACATTATACTGCAAATTTTTTTTTTAATTTCGATTTTTTAAAAGATTCTTTGATATATATTGCTAATATAATCATATTTTGTCTTTGGTTCAAAGATTTGAAGCACATGAGTTTGAAAACTTTATTAAATTTGCAAAAAGTATATACATGTTTGTTCAAATTAGTGTAGCATACAAATAAATGAAATCAACCAGTTATAGATATACTTCCACACTAATTGATGCACAATTCTAATTTACTTCAAGTGCTAAACCCTAACCTTAATCTAAAGGCCTCCCATCTGACAACATGTATAAACCTAGTCATGTGTTATGTCCATCATATGATAATGCATCTCTTTCACTATAATTTCATGTATCTCACATTATATATGATGTCATGACAATGAAACATTTTAAATTTCAACATGCTCATCACATTGAATTAGAAAAAAGTATTTGTCATTTTTGACAAAAGAAATCTTGAAAAAACTATAAAATTTTATGTGATGGTAAACTATATGATGGTTTACTATATAAAATTCAATTTATATTTCTCCAAAAATAGCTTATGTCTCAACAACTTAGAAAAAGAAGAGAATGTCATACCAGATGATGATGGAGAAGAATCTAAGGCAATTTTTCTTCTAACAAAACAGTTGATGACTTTCATGTTTTGGTGTAATAAAATAAAGATAAAATTTTATTTCTATATTGATGCATAAAATATTGTTATGCAATACAATATGACACATATTATAGATTCATATTTTATTTCATGTATATGATGAAAATCTTAAGTTTTGATACTACATTTTGATGAAAGATCCAACTATGTACTTATTAATTATATTTCAAATATATGTGCAAGAAGTTTAATATAAAATAGATTATAACAGTACAAAAAATATTATTAACATAATTTACTTAGCCAAAATATATGCTTACACATCTCAAACATAGGATGAGAAATAGACTAATTGGTATATGATACTGTTTTGGGTAAGATTTATAATTATATAAATGTATTTGAGACATTAAGTACTAACTAAATTCATGTATATCCATAATCACGTACCGATGTGTCTTCAACCTAGTCCTATATTGTGATGTCTTCTAGTCCTATCTGTATTTTTTTCTTATATTCGTTGATTCCAAAATCTTCCTACATTTTAACGTAAATCTTTGCGAAATCGGAAAGTCTATATCGAAAAAAATTTTAATTTATAAACATGATACCCAATATACTCATGTCACTTTCATACCTAAAAAGACCTGCAGTACGACGATCTTATAGATAGAAGTACTAAGTCTGGCTCTCTTTTGTTGTCAGGGAACAACAGAACATTACCGAGC